TTCGAAGTTGGCTGGTAAAGGACAAATATGATGGGATTGCAATAGCTAATATGTTTAAAACAGAATTCTCTTTGTATAAATAGGGTTGTCTGTTTTTTTTTTATATATAATGTACACGTATTGTTGTCCTTTTACAATGTTACAATGTACATGTAAATGTTGTGAATAAAGGATTAAAAAAAAAAAAAAACTTTAGTTCAGGGTTTCCTTACCTTCTTTTGAACTGAGCCACCAGGACACCCTGAAATCCAGTGATGACGGCCATCTTACTTGTCAACTGTAGGGGAGAGAATAAAGATTATAGTGAACTGTAACAGTTAGTTACATGTAACAATGAGTGATTATAGCACTTTATACCTGTAGCTACAGTCAAAAACATTTTACATGACTTTTGCATTGATTAAAGGATATAGGATGGGCACATTTCAAAGGACATTCATATGGAGAGCTTGCCACAGAAAAATGGCCCTTTGAGCTGCCCGGCACTATGCTTCAGGGATGTTTGTAAATTTGGCATGAAATGCACACTCAAGCATTGATCCAGCTACATGTAGCTGGGAACATCCCAAAGCAGACCGCAGTGGACTTCATCACAATGTTATGGTTGGCCGTCAAATGTCTCATTTTTTGTGTCCTAAGTGTGGTCGGGACTGCCATGCAAAGACAGGGATGATAAGCCACACCAGATGCTGCCCACGGCCACAACACCAGTATAGTGCTGCCATTATCTTTCAAGATAGAAGGATGCCTGCTATGTGTTAAATGATATATTTTGATACAGACCTCCTCCTCCAGCGTTGTCTTGAGTGTGGTGAAGGCCTGAGATGACTGGTCCTGGAGCTGAGCTGACCAGGACTGGGACACAGTCATGGTGACAGAGGAGGACACACTCACTGTACAAGGAAAAATTACAAGAAATTACTCTTTAATTGATATTTTCAATTCCTGGCATAGTAATACTGTTTTGGGTGGCTGAGTGCTGATCTTTCTGTGTCCAGACACAGCGGATTGACAGCACATGGGTGCAGGAAGATAGACAGGCAGAATGTTTAGACGTACTGGAAATGGGGTAAAGTTTAAGGCCATGAAAACATAATATAGAATATATATACACTTCTTGGAAGTCTGAAATCTACGAGTCCTTGTGAAATAATGTGATGAAATCTGCTTGCATTATTTGTATTGTTGAAAGTCAGTCAGTGGGATATGTTCATCTTTATAATGAAAGCATCAGGTTACAGCTTATTGAAAAGTTCACATAAGTTTAAGAATTGTTTTCATTACATTGCATTTCATTTCATTTTATCTCATACTATTCATATCTGAGATTCAAAGATCTGACTGAGACAAAATTTGACCGTGAAGTGCCAACAACAGGCTTGTACGTAGGATATGACAACACACAACTGGCAACTCCAATGTGAATCAGATATAATATGTAGATGAAATCAAAGTACATCTAATTGTACATTCCATCAGAACAACTAAGATTTGTTGGCCTGTTTTCAATTCAACATAGGTACCATCTTTGGTGACTACAGCAGATGTTGAGTTCACAGCAAGTCCTGATATTTCTCCAGATGACACAGCCTGGGCAAACGATGTTTGGACATTCTTTGCTGAGTAGGATGCAACAACCAGACGAGTAACCACAGTGACAGTGTTGGTAGAACTGAAAAAAATCAAATGAATTCTTTGTCAGAGGCAAAAGTGGCTTCTTCAATGGTTCAGGCTCAAATGAGGAGGATACAAAAAGTTTGCACTAGTTTTAGTAAACATAAAAGAAAGTGGAAAAGAAGTGTTTGAACTGACCTTTGTTTAAACTCCACCACAACAACTCGCTGGAAACCTAAAGTGTTTCCTAACTGCACACTTAGCTGTGAAAATAAGCACAAAACATTAATTAAAGAACAGGGATTGAAACTTTACCTTTATTGATACGTTATGACAAAAAGAGCTAAATATTAGATACATTGTACAACACTAAGTACAATGATTATCATCATTATTAGTATCATATCAAGTCCATCTTTGAGAGATACAATTACTAGGATATTAAAGACAACAGATTATGCAAGAAACTCAATATTGATAGACTTCTTATTTGTTTTATAAATATTGATAGACGTGTAAAGAAGGTGTATGTAAAAAAGTTTAACGTATCTTTAAATAAGTACTTAAGTACTGTACTTACTGCCTCCTGTACTGATTCTGCAAGTGTTATGTAGGCCTGTGATGATGTATTCACAAGGTCAGCTGACCAGGTCTGGGTCAAGGTCATCTGAGCAGTCTGGGAAACCGTCACTTAGAAAAAAAGCAACAAAGGTGTCCTTGTTCTTTAGCTATTGAAATGAGACATTACCAACGAACCAAATAAAACTTTGTAAAATATTAGACCGGGTTTTATAAATGTCATTGGTGTTACCAATGCCTAACACTAAATTTCATGTTATGTTTGCTTACACCAAAGATATTCAGTAGTGGATCAACAAAGTAGGTAGTTTACAACATGACATTTTATTATCTGATTAGCTGAAAAATCAAAGAAATACAATTTGTCATTTTTGACACCTTTTACTACATCCGCACTGTGAAAAACATATTTTGACCTCATCTAATGACAACATGAAAATGATATTACTAACTGCTTGTTTAATCTTTCTCTCTACTAAGTATCCTTTCACAGAGTCTAGTACCTAACACGTCAAAGAAGGTAAGACATTCAGGCAATGAGATACACAAGGAAATTGTTCCTCAAGCAACTGTCCGATATTCAAAGTAGAATAAACAACTTTTCATTAGTGACAGACAACTTGCTTCTCTTACCATCCTTTTTGATGACAGCAGAAGTGTTGACCACAGCCAGTCCCCCGAGGTTCCCTGTCTGGACCTGTGTAATCACCGACTGCTGGGCTGCTTTTATTGCATAGTCTGTAGCTGCAAGCCTCAGAACAACTTCAACCTGACCAGATTTCCTATGATAGTACATAGCACAGACTTCAATACATGTAACAAGTTAAACTTTTCTTAAGCCATGATCTAAATGATTTACATGTCCACTGACATTGTCTATTGAAATTTTTACTTGATAAACACCTTAAAACTTCATCTCTACTCTTTGCATTGATCCAAGATGTATTCTTTATCCGGTCGGTTCAAACTCCATTGGTTACATGAATGAATGAAAGACCTTAAATTTTGTATCATACTACTTCTGCCAGAGCTACATTCTAAGTCTTATGTGTATACTGGTATGCACAGGTTCAACTTCTTCTCACTTCTTAAGACAGCTGTATGTCTAAGAACAGAATCTGATGGACATTATTTTTGTGTAACTTACATGCATGTACTTACGTTCTCTTAAATTGGTCTGCTTTGACAGCCTGAGCCCCTACTGTCTTCAACAACGTCTGGGAAATCTAGGATAGAAGAAGGAAAAAAAGGAAAATTACAATACTCAATCATTGGAGCATTTCGATTTTTTTAAATTTACAAATATAGTACCAATTCTTGCATTATTATCTTTTTTGTCAGGATAAGGCCACACCGATTTAATTTTATGGATTACATCCTTAAAAACCATAAAACTATTGCGCGCGGGCGAATAAAAAAATCCGGCCAAAAATAAAAATGCTACTAAACCACAGGAATACAAAGCAGGTATTGTGAATGCGCGGCAATACATAGCGACGTATACGACAAGCCGGTACATATGCTGGCTTTATGCGGAATTTATGAATCAGCATTGTACGTATTTACTGAGTTATTGAGTCGTGGAGCTTCAGTAGCCTGGGTGCCATCCTCCACAGTTACCAACGGCTCTGTATTGTCGCTAACTACCATGGACTACCCAAGCCTAGAGCCAGGCCATAGCCTTGGCGGACGTGGTCTTTTTTTTTTTTTGAGAACAGGCGAAAATCAATGTGCGCGCGGGTGTCATCCATAAAATTAAGTCGGTGTGGCCTAATCTATGGATTCCAAAGAACTATCACTGGCAAGAAAAGAATGCTACTAGTCATACTTACCACTTCTTCAATCTGGATCTTTAACTGTTGGTAAGTTTGAGATGTCACGTTCAACAGGTCAGCTGACCAGGACTGGGCAATCGTCATGGAAACCGAGGCAGATGCAACCACTGAGAAAAATATTACAAATACAGAACTTTATTGCACGACACACCTCTAGGAACTGTTTTAGGTTTTCATGGATATATTGGAACTGTACATGTGGAGATGATTGTATGATGTAATTTAATCGGGTCTACACCACTTCCTGAATTCCACATACATTGTATACCGCCCACTCACTTCAGGCTCCCTATCAATCAGCTGTCACCACCCACCCACCATGCAACTGAAGCAATTTACAAGGAAGAAACCAATGGGTAGTAATAACTATTATAATCCTGATTTGCAAGCAGGGCTCAAAATTATAGCTGGTCCATTGGCCACTGAGCACTAAAATTTAGGCAGGAACAACTAAAAAGACACTTTGGACAAAAGAAAAATAATCAAAATCAGAATTTCAGCCCTTCTTTTATTTATCGGGAATATGTCCCGACTTTTGGATTCGGAAAAGTCCCCCCAAATTTCCTGTCTACAGTGCGCCTGGGAGTGAACAGAAGCAAACTAAAGTTGACTTCAAGTTGAAGTCATACGATACTTCCAAGAAAACAGATTGGGACAATTAATGCTCACTTTGGGACAATTGAATTTTATTTTTGGGACAGTGCTGGGACAGTAGGAATAAAAGTTAATTTTAAGGCCTGGCATATGTACCATCCTTTGTCACAGTTGCGGATCCTGGTACAACAGAAATCCCTCCGATCTGACCGGCTGAAACTGACTCTTGGTACAGCATCTGGACTTGCTTGGCTGCGTAGGACGCCATCACCATACGCATGACCACAACTGTGTTGGTGGTGCTGAAGAAAACAACAAAACACAACACAGCTCTCAGGAATTGAATGCATATTGATGATACAAAGGGATTAAAAATGTTGGTGGATACCAATGTGAAAACATGCCAAATGATTTTAAAAGAATACTATTTAATAATAGTGAAATTTTATTTATCTTTGGAGGAATGAATTGAAAGAAAAAACCTACCTGTTCTGAAACTCCACAACCACCACTCTTTGGAAGCCTAAGGTATTCCCCATCTGAACACTGATCTGGGAATTTCAACAAGCTTCATCAGATTTACTCAACATACACATATCAACAAGTTATTAGAATTGATGATGTTACCACGTTCATACTAGTATTAATTTTTGTTCTAAAACTGGTAAGAAATCTCATCATTTTTTAAGATTCATTCAATGTGACAACAATTTTATTAACTTAAGAATACATAAGAGGCATAACTTATTAACCTTTTGTTGCGAGGAGCAAATTAATAAATATTTCCAACTTACTGCTTCCTGTAGCTTTGTTTTCAGAGCGATGGAAACAGCAGAGTTCTTGTTGACAAGGTCAACTGAAAAAGTCTGGCTCAAGGTCATCTGAGCTGTCTGTGACACCACCACTGTGGGGAAAATGTGGAATACAAACTGTTTCTTCAAAGCTGAAAGGTAGGACTGCACCAAATGACAAGCTAGTCAATTATAGACTAAATACTTTGCGATTTAAATTAAATGTTCCCTACAGAAATTGATGTGGTGCCAAACTAGAACCAAGTATACTCCAGAGGTCCATATAGAGGTTCTGTCCTTGGTGCTGAACACAGCTGCTTATCAGGTTTCAACAAACTTACAATAAGCTTGTTGGCAGAACGTACTGTGCCTGTGTGAAACCCATAATGTATTGTTCATAGCACTTGTTCATGGCAGAATGTCTTGTTTAAGGTTGTATTCGAGTATTGAAGGATGACATCCCATCTATAGCTTCCAACACGCCTGTTTCGAGTGGAACATTTAGTTCGAACGCGCCGCTCCGCGCCTAACCTCATTTGCATATATGGGAAAATTAAACTTCTCATTTGCATATATGGGAAAATACCGTGCTCCCGCTAGCGCACTGTGACTTTTGGCCTTTGACACCACAAATCATGACGTATAGTCACATGCAACCATTTGCAATGGGAACAACGTTGCTACAGGGTAGCGAACAGAGTCTTGCGAGAATTGGTTGAGTCTTTAGCACCTCTAAGCCGCGAGAATGCAGAAATTACAAAGAAAACTGGCTGGTCTCTCTTCGGATGTGTATTAAAGAGCCAACGTAAGTAACGTTTACTTCTTGATATTTCAGTATGACTACAAGTTTTTCAGGAGCAAACTCTGGTGGTTTTCAAACCACAAATTATGTGTCTCTTAGAGCTGGAAAACTGGCGTTAGCCTGACACTTTCTTATTAGCAATATGGGGCGTCAAATGTTTCGATGCATGTTACACCATATTTACACGTTCGACTCATTAGCATCGGCAGTGTGTTCACACGTGTTACATAACTGTTGTTTGGGTTGCATGTATTTCCATACCTGTTCAAAAACTCCACTGCACTTGTTTCCTCAATTTTCCTTGTTTTGGGCCGACATAAGCATGGGACAGATCGGTTGCATTGGTGCATATAAAAGGAAAATAGCCCCCCTCCCCAAGTAGTATCACTCATGTACTAGTATATAATTTTGTGAATGTTTTCTTAACTTAGACTAGTTAAAGGGAACTCTGTACTGCTGTTGCCAATATTAACGAGGGAGACTTCAGTTTGCAAAACGTGAGTAAATGCCAATTTTACACATGTAAAATTATAATATATATAGTAGTTCTTTACAGTGTGCATCATACAGCAATAGTCAGTACAGTTGAGCAAAACAATTGTCCATGCTTTGTTTTGGTACTGCTGCATGAAAAGATCTAACTATAAATTCTACCTGTCAACTGTTTACATTTGTAACCATTAAGTGCTATTGTGTTCACAGAAATGCCACAAGTACATGTATATGATACTTAGTAATGCTAAACATTGTTTCTACTCCGTAATTTGTTAACATCATTTCTAGATAACTACATTTGTACATTTCTCATTCTTTTCTTTGGTGCAGGCACACCATCCTGTCTCCCTGGATGCACCTGTAGCAGATGGGTTTCCAGTGTGGACTTGAGCCGTCTCACCGCATCCGGGATGGAGCTGGTTGATCGGTTGATCCGATTGAAAACGGCATGGACCTGTTCCACCCCTTGCTCCCCATGAAAACCCAACCCAACCCCCCAACACCATATCCAGGGTATGACATGTTCTTCCAAGAGGTGCATCTTGACGGATACAGACGAGGTAGGGAACAGCTCTCTGTACTTGGCCAGGAAGTGCTTGATACTGCAGTCTGTAACATAAAAAGAATGGTATTGATTGATTATGTATTGATTTACTATGAAAAACATTATGATGTCAATTGCATATCCAAAATAACTTTTAATGTTGGTAGTAGATCAAAATGGGTTGATGACTAAGAACCCACCTAGATTGGATATCTCCTCATTAGTCATGCTGTTTGTGTGGGAGTACCCTTTATGGCACTTTGCAAATGCCTTGAAGATTGTCTCATACTTCACCCTGATGTCATTAGACCTTGTAACCAGGTCAAGCGGAAAAGCCTCAAACTGGGTCACAATTTCCTCTGCCGCCTGCTTGGCAGCAGACGTCAAGTCTTCGATGGCTTGTTCCTGTACATAAAACAAGGTCGATGTCTGATATTGGGATTTTCTTATACACAACCAAACTTGTCTCACCTTGCTTACATTTTGATGTCTATCAGACACCTTCCTCAGAGCTTCTGGCTTCTGACTGGTGTTCTAGTTCTCGCCTATGTAGCCAATGTAGGTGGCGCTTTTGCAGCGAGAACCGTTTGTACCCCCCCTCGTCACGGCTCATCAGAGAAGACAAGAATTACGTTGGATCAAAGAAGTGGTCTGGATAAGGAAGTCAACCCCAGTGATGAACCTGGACGAGGGGATGGGGGTACATCTATAGCCATGTTTTGGGACCGTGTTCTCGCCGAAAAAGCTGAAGGTGTCTGATATACATTGAAACGTAACTACTGGTTATCTTCCTGGCTGTCTCTACTTCTTTCACCCTTCTCCTTACTGTTGTAGGGGTCACATCTGTTGTCGCTTTCCTAGCCTTCGTCAACTTGCGAAGGATTATTGGCTGCGTATTGAATAATACATGTATATTTTAGTTGCTGGTATTGTGATATCCTGCAACAAACAAGTGTATATATATTTATATCATACCCGGACCGCTATAATCTTTGATAACTGCATTCCGGAACTTTACGGCCCAGCCCGGAATACTGTACTGTGTATGATGCAGTTTTAATTGCTGATACTGTGGTATACTGTACTGTGTATGATGCAGTTTTAATTGCTGATACTGTGGTATACTGTACTGTGTATGATGCAGATTTAA